GGCCGAAACGTTGTAATAAATATGGCGATAAAGATTAGGACAATAGTCCGAATAATGTAAATAGTGTACATAATACCTCATCTCAGAAATATAGACAGATACTGAAAGGCCGAAACGTTGTAATAAATATGGCAACAAAGTTGAGGACAATAGTCCGAATAATGTAAATAATGTACATAATGCCTCATCTCGGAAATATAGACAGACTCTGAAGAAAATATTTTTATTTTTATTTTATTTCTAGTGTATGTTGTTTCATAGAAGCCACTAAAAATGGAAGGAAATGCTATTTAACGTTTACTTGTGGGTATTTTGCCAGACATAGAAACTAAACCATTAGCAAGAAAATAAAAAATAAATTTGATTATAATCATTTGATGATTTGCCCTGAGAAAAACATGGAAATATTGGTTTTACAAGAATTATATAATTTCTAGGTGACATAAATCTGCTACCAGCCTCGAAAAAAACCTATTAGCGATAAAATAAAAAAATTAAATTGGATTATAATCATTTCATGATTTACCGTGTGAAAAAAACATTGAAATATTGTTTCTCCAAAATTTAAATAATGTCTAGTTGACAAAAATTTGCTACCACCCCTCGAAAACAAAACAAACAAAAAATCGGATTATGCATTTTTCAAAATCTTAGCAAGTAGTGTAGTCAGTTGAATTCAGAATTCTAATGTTGCTAAATTATAAAACTATACTTCATCTTTCATTCATAAAAAGTTTTAAAATCCCTTATTCATTGTTAACTTAGTAAATACACCATTTTCTTTGAGTTGTGTTTCATACGTAAAAAGTAATTTTATGCAAATAATTACACTTACAGGTTAAACAACTCCTTCTTTTTCTTGGGCTGTGTTCTTTCATCACGTTGGCGATGGCGAGTCGACAGAACTACAGATCCTCTGTGGTCCTTAGCAGCGGCTCTCCCTTTGCTAAACATCTAGCCCTCCATTCCGTCATCTATTCACACAATCTAGTCAGGTAGCTAGTCCGCTTCAGTTCCCTATCTTTCTTCCTATCGATATACCCTGTGAGTGTCAAATTTTCCAAACCCACATTTATCATTATACGTCCAAAAGAATTTCAGCTGCCTCTTTCTTTCTCATTCTGAGTGTAAATGTTCTTTTTGCCATCATCTTATTTAAGACTTTTCCGTTGCCTACTCGCTCCGTCCATGAAATTCTCAGCATCATTCTGTAGAGATGTGATACGATGACACTGGCAAACAGAAAGAAAAGGGTTCAAACTAAAATATATCTTGAAACAAGACGAAAAGGGTTAAAGAAAGAAAGGTCTTGTTAATTATTATTCATTTCATTTGTACCCTCTTACTTCGTTAGATAATGTCCTTCACCCGGATTTATAATATAACGAAACAGTTGGCCGTTAGATGTTGTTTTCACAGGATAATTTCGACCATACACAGTGAAACAAGAAAGACAGGTCAACAATCTGTTCCGACAGGCGCTGTCAAAAAAGAAAGAGCTGAAATACGAAATCTGAAATTGTCTTTTATTGTGTTCCGGGTCGCCCTTTCTTCTTCTTCTTCTTCTTCTTCTTCTTCTTATTCTTCTTCTTCTTCTTCTTCTTCTTCTTCTTCTTCTATGCGTTAAGTCCTTCTCAGGGGCTGAGCGTTCATCGCTCTCCACAACTTTCTATCCTCCGTGGCCCTTAGCAACGTCTCTCCCTTTGCCAAGCCTCCCGCCCTCCATTTCAGGTAGGTGACCCGATACCCTTCCTTATCTTTCTTGCCATCGATATACCCTGTGAGTGTCAAATTTTCCAAGCCCTCAATCCTCATTCTGAAGAATTTCAACCGTCTCTTTCTGGTTCTGCGCATGCATTTTTGGGTTTCCATTTCCTTTAAGACTTTCTCGTTGCTTCCTTGCTCCCTCCATGTAATTCCCATTATCCTTCTGTAGGACATTACATTTCTATTGCTGTTTTCTCTTCACCTGTGGGAAGATTGTCCAGCACTTACTGTCTCTACCTGATTCACATAGCAATCGAACATTCTTTAACGAAATCTTTAAGTTTCTCAGTCACTTTTCACAAATATCTCTGCTTCTGTCGAGTATGCAGATATTTTCTACAGAATTTCTTCTTACTATTTTTAAGGCTTGCAGCTATATCGAGTTGAAACTCCGTTTCTTCTACGATCGACGAAGTTAAGCAACGTCAAGCCTGGTCAGTACCTAAATGGGTGACCGGCTCAGAATTGGAAATCGGACAGTCGACTTTAAAGAAGGAATTAGAAATAAATCAATATATAAGACAGTTAATGAGCTGAGTTCCAATTCCAGTCGTGTTCTTTAGATTCACTTACACACAAATACCCATGGGAAAGGTATGATTCCATCTCATCTCCCCCTAGCTATGGGTTAATTAGTAAAACTTATATAAGTAAACCATTATTATCTCCCCAAAATTCTTTTAATCTAAAAATACGGTGTGTTCCCGCCAAAATGTACTTATTCCTTAAACGACAATAAACGTGGTGGTTATTGACTTGCAAACAAGATTAATGGTTAAAATTAAGAAATATTATTGTTTATTGATTTACAAAGAAGATTTACGGTTTAAAAAAATATTGAATAGAATTCAATGCCGGTTTATAAATACTTAAACTGACGACGAAGTCAAAAACTGAGTACATTTTTGGGGGACTCTTCGTATATTCTGGCTTTAAATAACCTGCAGAAAGTTGATAAGCCGTAAAAAAAAAAAAAAAAAAAACATTGAAATCAGTCTTACTATTTTTGAAATTTGACAAAGAAAATTTACTGTTATACAACTTTTCCTTCTTAAATATATCGAATTCCCGTTCCTGTTCATACCCACGTTGTAACAAGTTTTTTATTTCACAAAACTATTTGATAATGACTGGTTGCAATTTGAATTAATCAACGGACAGTTTCAGTTTTCCTGAAGTGATTTTATTTTTGACTTTACTTGACTAAGCCTAATCCCGTCGCCAGAGTGTTTTGAGTGGGCGACCGGATTTAAGTCATGGGAAACGCGTGTAACAATTTGCACACTAAAATTAGTTCACATTTTCACAGGGACTGAGGCTGAAGTGGGTAGAAGTACAAATGATGTTCTGTGTAGGACCAAGCTTTATGGACCCAAAATACACAAACCAGGCACCACAAACGCACCCGATAACATCCGAGATTAACAGTGTCCCCTGAAAATTAGAAAAAGCCATGGCAATCATTGTAACTCCCCTCCTAGAAATAATAAGCTCAGCAAACAATAAACATTCCGTCAATCTAATCAATAGATTAAAATCTTCGATATGACAAAGAAAAACAGGGCCAGTGGAACAGTTGGTATGATGTTTGCTTGACTCCCTAACTGCCAGGGTTTCAATTCTCGGTAGGGGATGCGCACTGCTGATGAGTCCCAAATATAGAACGAAACGGCCGTCCAGTGCTTTCTGCATTCTGTTGAGATTTCTATCAGACTCGATGAATTAATATATATACATATAATCCAAGTGATATATATATACATACATAGGTAATAATTCGTTAATGCATAATCCAAGTGATTGTATATATATATAAGTTATCGGCGCACGACAGAGAAAGGAATATATATATATATATATATATTCCCTTTCTCTGTCGTGCGCCGATAACTTAGGTTAGAATCTCTCACTGATATCAAATCAGTCGAGGTTCTTTGATCCCGGTTTTCGATCCCTAACCACACCGATGAGCTGTGATACAGCGAAACAGGTTGTCCATGGATATATATATATATATATATATATATATATATATATATATATATATATATATATATATATACAGTTAACATGAGAACGAATTGAGTACAATTCCAACTTTCGTAACATTTAATTTGAAAGAGGGCTCAATACTAAGTAGGGCAATATTATTTATTTTAAGATATTAAACCTTTCAAAATCGCTACACAATTGCAGTCGTGTTTCGATGCATATCAATGCATCTCATCAGTTGATTGTAAATTACTGGTGAGTGAACGATTTATTTAGATTTAAAAGCAAAATACAACATCTTTTTACGAAAAAAAGAAAGTGGGGTTATAAGGTTTGTGGGTATTAATCAACCAATCAAATGTTTCGTTATCCCAATGGAGGATAATTAGAAATAAAAGCGATAAAGGGAAAAAAACGTAAGAAAATGAATGCGATCGGCTAGACGATATATACACACGTCTACAGAAAGAATCATTTTAATTTGAGCGTTCCTACATTTTCAGAGTTTTCCCTCGATACAACCCAGTGTGTCTGTTGAACAATAAAGAAATATTAAAAAATGAAAATCTTCAGACACACTGGGTTGTAGATTAATATTCCTTAATTTTTATTATTATTTCATTTAGATTCCTCGACTAGTTTCGACCGAAATGGCCATCATCAGGAGAAAAAAAAATTCTGCTTGCTGGTAGCAGTGAACTACAGAAATGAATGTCTTGATGGAGAAAATGAACTTTTGTCTGTAGTTTTCATTTGTTTTTGTTTTTTAACATGAATTTTGGTCAGTCTTTGTGTTGGTCAAACAGTCACTTTTAAGTTGTTATTTGAGATAAGAGCTGGATGGATTCATGCTGCTCTGAATTCCCTTGGCCATTTTGACAGTTTTATAAAGTTCCTCGAAAGGTAATGTGTCTCTGTTAAGTGTGTGTGTGTGTTATTTGGTTCTTATTGAATGAGTGAGTATGTGTTATTTTGGTTTTTAGGGAGTGAGTGAGTATATACATACATACATATATATATATATTTATATACACGACCCATTTATATTTATTAATCAGAGTGTATTACGTCTAACTGTCTGCACATCAGGAATGTGCAGGCTTATAGACGGAATAACCACGGTCTAAAAAATAAAAATGGTACGTCTATTTTAAATAATAAGCGTACCTTCTCATAACGTTTGAAGTAATGATAACGTTGGATCAAAATAAATCCATTAATTCTTAGGAAAAATTAAGCAGATGTTTTTGGCTAATGATTACGCAAATGGTTATCTCTCTCTCTCTCTCTCTCTATCTATCTATCTATCTATCTATCTATCTGTCTGTCTGTCTGTCTATATATCTCCGTTTCTTTATATCTATCTATCTGTCTACAAAATTATTTTTATTTCATGAGTAACTTTCACTGGATTTCGCAATTAATTTCGATTATTCCCAAATTTATAAATTATAAAAATTGTTATCGTAAAAAAAAAAATTGTCGCAAAAAATCACGTAAAAAAAAATCGCTGAGAACAATTGGAGTAATGAAAAGTTGGGGTCTGGATCCGCTCTAAAATGTTTTTTATTCGTTCACGCAGTCGGCCTGATTCCAAAATGGTATGATATGTTAGGCTACGGCCTATAGTAGTAAAGTTGAAAACTGTGACACACTGACATTCGCATTTATTATATAAATGTATTACAGTGTAACCTGGATATAAGAGACCCGGATATAAGATAAACCCGGATATAAGAGAGATTTTCTCCGGTTCCAAATTAGAGCCTGTGTTAATGTATATAAAATAGACCAAACCCGGATATAAGAGAAACCCGGATATAAGAGACTTCTTCTCCGGTCCCGACAACTCTCTTACATCCGGGTTACACTGTATAACTCACTTAAAGTGTACTGGAGTGTGTGAGTTGTTTATATGCAATGAAGAGAATTGAGCATCCGCGGAGTTTTGGTTAACGTGAGGGTTCCTGGAGGAGAAAGAGTTCAACAGGACATCTGCACTCTTCTGTTCGTGGGACAAGCACATGTTTAACTTTTTTTCTTTTACCGTTTCTTTTATTTTATTTTCGAGTCTGTTCTTTTCGTCATAAAACGTAGAAATGCTCAGTTGTCAAGAGCAATCGAAGCCATTTCCAAAGAAGTCGCTAACTCGGGACGTCTCCATGCGTTTTAATTGGATCGGATCGTGACAGACACACTAGCGCGCCAAAAAACAAAAAAAAAAAAAAAGAAAAGAAAAAAAAAAGGAGGAGAAGAAAAAAACTATAGCAAGGTCACTTCCAGAGAGCGCGCTTCCATCAAGCTACTAAATTTCTGTACCAGGTGACCCGACGAAAATAGCCAGGTATGTGTAAGCGAAGACAAATCCAGAGAGAAAGATAAACAGACAGACCACAAGAAAACGCTGAAGAAATAGAGTATTATGAGTTACCAATAATTCTGTGCCTACTTTGACTCTTTTTTTTTTTTTTTTTTTTGGTACCTCAGCCATCCAAACTTATTCCTCATCATTTAGCTCTTATAACAGATCTTCACTTTTCGCTACCGACAGACAGACATGTGATATACGCGTTGCACGTCAGCTAAATATATGCCTTTTCATCTTGACAGAATACTTGCGAGTGTCTTTGGTCGGCAGAACGGGAAGCCTCATAATGAGTATTTATGATGATGCAAAATCAGCAGCAACATTGACTCTAAAACGCTTGTACTGTTTTTTTTTTCTTTTCTTTTTGTTTTTTTAAACATCGCTCAAGCCCTCTTTCCGAGCACAGAACACCCTAAAAATACTTGCCCAAGAATACTTCAACAAAAGATGCCTTCAAAGCTTGGCTTTGTCCGGTAAACGGTTTCAGACGTTTGCTAAAAATAAACCCAATACAATTATTCCCCTCCCCACCCCCACAAAACATTTATCTACGTTTCCACAGTTCCACAGATGCCAAAAGAACAAGTCTAGAAACAAGTAGAGAATAAGTCTAACACGTTCAGTGTGCCCAGTGAGAACGTCCCCTCAAGACGCGCGCGATCATGGGTCTCCACAATTTCCCATCCTTTGTAGCTCTTAGCAGATTTCGTCTTTTCGTCTCCTAAACCCTGTTCCGACATTCATTTACTCAAGCTTCATATCTTTCTCAAATCTCTTCTATCTATCTATCTATCTATCTATCTATCTATCTATCTATCTATCTATCGTCAGTTCCTATTTATCTATCTCATACTGTTCATATCTATCTATCTATCTATCTATCTATCGTCAGTTCCTATCTATCTATCTATCTATCTATCTATCTATCTATCTATCTATCTATCTATCTATCTGTATCTCTGTATGTCAGTGCTATTCATATCTATCTATCTATCTATCTGTCTATCTATCTATCTATCTATCTATCTATCGTCAGTTCCTATCTATCTATCTATATCTCTGTATGTCAGTGCTATTCATATCTATCTATCTATCTATCTATCTATCTATCTATCTATCTATCTATCTATCTATCTATCTACAAACGGTTATTGTTATTTCATGGATAACTTTCCCTGGATTTCGTAATTAATTTCGATTTCCAAGTTATAACAATTGTTATCGCAAAAAATATTTGTCGCAAAGAATCACGTAAAAAATCGACGAAAACAATTGCAGAATCCAACATTTCAAGATTGTGGGTTACAAATGATAAAAAAAAGACTTCAAGCTGCAAAGTGAATTCTTAGAATCTCGATGGCAGATCAAGTGAGCAACGAGATTTTGAAGAAAATAAGAAGTGTAAGGACAACTTTTACAGTTGAAATCTGAGGCGCCATAGGAACGAGGAAAGATGTCTTTCAGAAACTATTTTGGAATCATCTAGAGTGAGACCTGCACATATTAATGCTATCGCAGATCAACCTTACAAAGATTCCTCATTGAGATTAGCGTGCATCAGCTAGAATTATAACACACATGTTGTAGATCCCCTTGGCCGTGGATTGTTCTTGGGACAACGGTGCCAATTCACTCACATTTCTTGGATCTTCTCTCTTTTCTCTTTCTTCTCTGTCCCTATTAAGTAATCCCTATTCATTTTGGACATCACCTGGACAATGGCGGCCTTCAGTGCAGCTATGGTACTTTGAGGATGTCCATTAGTCTCTCTTTCAACGACGCTCCACACGTAATAGTCCATAGGATTTAAATCTGGCGAGTTACGGGACCACATGTTGGGGGTCACATGATCGTAAAAATTGCCTGATAACCAATCCTGGGTTACAATGCCTTTGCGAGAAGGTGCAGAGTCTTTTTGAAAGACATATGGCCTTCCATTGCATACTTTATTTATCAAGGGATTAAGAACCGTTTTAAGAACATTAATGTATCCAGCAGCATTGACCCTAAGACCTTGTGGGAAAATGTAAGGTGGCATGACATGACCTTCACTGCTCACAACTCCTAAAGCCATCACAGTAGCCGGATATTTGGTGTGCATCACCCTGGGTACTTTAGAAGGAGATGCACATAACCACCTGTCATTCCGTCTGTTTGTTTTCTGATCTTGGTCAAAGTATTTTTCGTCAGAGAAAAACCCAAGCATGCCATTTTCGTGGGGATTTTTCACTTTGTTCAGCAACTGTTTTGAACACATGAGACGGTTTTCCTGCGTCTTCACCGATATGAATTGGAATTTCCTCATTTACATATGACTTATATTGAATGTCCTGATGTACCACGGTTCTGATAGTCCATTCTGATACCTGGGGTTCTTTGGCGATGGACCTCATTGATCTTCCGGGGTTCTCATCGATGATGTTTTGAACATTCCGTATAAATTCTGTTCTCCCGGTATCTCCCGCTGTGAATGCTTTTTTTCTTTTTGTTACAGGGGAAACATTGCCATCACATCCCTCTAGCTCCAACTGAACCTTATGAACAAAGGATCTGGCAACATGATTTTTAAATCACTATGTTTTGCAGCTAAAGCAACAATAACTGCATGTCTTTTCATTTCTTGGGTTAACATCTTCCTCTGACTGGGTTATCTGAAATAAAAAATGATTCGAGTGAATTTATCAACAATTGTCCTCAAATAGCAATCGCACCCTGCATATATATGATATATTTGTTTTATTTATCTATTTACATCGCTTTATAATTGTATTTCTGTGTTTGTGTATTTGAAAATTCTCTTAAAAGAATTAAAAATGGACTGATCTCTAAGAAAAGGAATTTACAAATAACACACACAGGCACACACAGACACAGACACACACACATCCATACATATATATATATATAAATAGAAAAGTGGACATAGAAGTCAACACTTAGGTCGACAGTCTGTTTCATGCTAGATGCAATCGTCAGGCCCCGACGATTGTACCTAGCATGAAACAGACTGTCGCCTCTAAGGCTTCTATGTTCACTTTTCTATTTACACACGCCTCTGTCTTTGATATTGAGCACTTTATCCCATAAATATAGCACATCTTAAGACTATATTTCTTCATATATATATATATATATATATATATATATATATATATATATATATATAGTTTTTCTTTTCTTTTCTGGACATAAAAGAGTGTAAAAGCGGTCGGATATACAAAACGTACGGATATTTTTTTAAACACTTTATGTCCAGAAAAGAAAACGCTTATACGATTATAGCAAAAATTAAATTAACAAATTAAAATCAGTACCTATTCAATCGTTTTTATTGAAACATCTATAAAAGAGGGATTGCTACCCATGAAAACAGTTTTGCTGACGGTGGGGCTTCATAATATTATGAAATCGAAAAGAAATTTCATATATGCATGTTCCCTTCGTTTTGCTGACCATCCCAAGGATGTAATATTCAAATCTTAGATAATATATTGAACTCTTCTATATCAGTTATGTAATGAATATATTTGGGACTCGTGTGATTGTTATAATCTAGGCTACTTTCATTATGGTATACGCTGTATATATGGGGCTTTAGGGATCTCTGTCTGTGTGTGTGTGCGTGTGTGTTATTACATGAGTAGTTTAGGAGATTAAAATTTTGCAGATCTGGTACAAACATTTAAACAACAGAAATAGCGAAAAATTGGGCGAGCACTGAAGCATTAATAAGAAGAATGAGGTGTTGTGGGGGGGGCATGAACCCACTTCCTTTATTTTCCGAACTGTTGCAACAGTCACACCCTTTAATTGCTCTTGGAATTCCAATGTGGTCAAAATTCGAAATTTGGTAATTGTAGATGCAAAGTAATTGGTAACTGGATATATATATATATATATATATATATATATATATATATATATATATATATATATATATATATATATATATATGAAATACACCAGTGTGATGTTTTGGCACACATAATCAGTGATGTATTTAGCCGATGATCATAAGGGGTTTCGAATCTTTCAGCATCATCACCCCATGATACATATATATATATATTATATATATATATAATTTTTATGACTTAAATTACTCTACATTTTATTCTTTTTTAAATTGTATTGAGAGCTTTTTATTAACTTAACCGTTTTTAAGAAATTGTTTTTACCAAATGTTTAATTATTTTATAATAATATATATGTGTGTGTGTGTTTGTGTATGTATGTATGTAAAAATTTCAGAGTATATCTTCACGCTTGCCTTAATAAACTCACTCAGAGGACGAAACGCGTCAGCCAAGATAAATTTTCCTTTTGACTTTATTCATATATATATATATTATATTATATATATATTATATAATATATATTATATTTATATTATATATATTATATATTATATATATATATATATATATATATACTGGGTCAGTCAAAATTATGTTAAGATGTTAAATCATTTTGCGTCTCAGTTATTAAACAATTTTGATTTTTTCGAACTTATAGAAAACTAAAACAAGGAACAAGGGATAAACCTCGACTTCCGTTCGAAAGGCCTGTCGGGGTGTGAACAAGACGGTAGGTAAGGTTGGCTTTTTCTTGTACCATGGTTACATGTATACCTTCATTAATTCACTATACAGGTTGGTCCGAAAGTTTTGTCACCCTTTGCCAAAAAAAGTAATGAGAACAATAGAAGAACAATTAATACCGTAATACAAAGCAAATGTACTGGATTCAGTTTATTCCCTTTCATTGACGCTGTCACACATCGAGAAGGTCTGTATGAACGTAATCATTTTCATGTCAGCCATTTGAAATAAAAAAAAAATTAGATTATGTATGGGGTGATAAGACCTTTCGACCATCATCTGCAACTTACCAAGGGCAGATGGTTTTATGAATTTTACCAGATTTTTCTATGTTCACATTAATAGTTATATTACTGAAATTGCAAAAAATATTATTTTGTAATTAAAATTTATAATTACAGGACAGCAGCAAACTTTGGAAAGATAATATTTTGTATAAAAAACTGAAATAATGTTTTTGAAATAATAATAGATTTATAAAAATAATATTATGATGAAAATATTCGCCATATTGTGAAACTAGTTTTATAAGTCGTTTATCCTTTGAACCGTTGTGTTTGTCCATAGAAAAAAAGATTGAATTGTGTCCATAATAGCATTTGAAAATTAAGATTTGCTAGTAAATTGCCGTTCGTCAGTATAAACCTTCCTTTTCTGGTTACTTAAAAGAGTTTTCAGTCGTATTAATGTCGGGCAAAGAGATCGGTCACTGCATCAAATGAATGTCTTTGAAAATTATTTTATTGAGACATACATGGGTTTTCTTCGCCTATTATGATAGAGTACTGTCATGCGCTAAAAATAAATAAAAACTTCGCTTCATATCGTGCCAAGTGCATAAAAGACATTAAAACGCGTTGATCATTTCCATATGTCTTAACAAAACTAATTCCTACAGCCTTTACAAGGGATGGTGTTCCTTGTCCAGCATGTGGAATGCTGTGTGACTCTCAAGCTAGCTATAAAAATTATAGAAGGCAAGACCACAGGGAAGTCATCAAATGGTGTTGAACACTCATACGTCGAAAATGAGGAAGAGTTCCTTATACATACAGGGTGATTGATAAGTAACTGTCTATTTTATGAATGATGGACCCTTCCGTCTTGTAAAAAAATTATAGTTAGACGGGAGTGCCCATCATACATAAAATAGGGAGTTACTTTTCAATCACCCTGTATATATAAAAAAAACTGTATATATATATATATATATATATATATATATATATATATATATATATATATATATTCGAATCCAGGTTGAATCCATTACATTCACTTACGTGCTAATACCATTGGGAAAGGTGTGAATCCTCTTCCTGTCCCTCCAGCTATGGGTAAAATAGCAGGACAGACTGAGTTCTATAGCCTTGGATGGCAACTAGTCTAGGAGAAGGACAACTCTGAATTCAAAACCTGAGGGGGGTTGTTTGGGAACCTTGTGGCACTTGGTGCACCAGGTCTCTGTATTCGTCCTTTCAAAAAGTGTGGATGGTCCTGCACGAAACCTTCACCACTATAATCAAATCTCATGTGCCGGTGTAGG